GGAGGAACCGTGTTCTTGCCCTTGGGGTCTGAATGACCAGCTGAGAAGCAGAGCGGGGTGGGGTGAGGCCCTGGGGTGCAGAGCCGGGGGAGAGGCAGACACATGAGGAGGAGGATGGGGTGAACCGTGCAGGCAGAAGGAGCCCGACTGGGGCACAAGGGACGTGGCAGAGGTCACGCTGGTGGGAGGGGCCGGAGGCCCCAGCCCGAGGGCAGCTCACGGTGGTCCACACCAGCAGTTCTGGGCTCTTAGGAAAGGATGCTCTGTTCCTCTGGCTTCCAGAAACAATCGAGGCTGGTGCCCGCTGACTTTAGAGTACCCAGGAGCCTAGGACGATGCCTTTCAGAGGCTCACGTGCCCATGGATCACTGGGGATCTAGGTAGAATCCAGCTGGCCTGGAGATCCTGTCTCCAACAGCATCTCGATGCCGAGGCTGCTGGTCTGTGACCCCAGAGAGTAGTCAGCCCATCCTGGCAGCCTCTTCCATGTGTTGACGAGATGCTGAAGCAGGAGGAACTTCAGCCATGAGACTAAGCCACCAGAACCACCCGAGATCCCTTGAGACCCACGCTTCCTGCCTCTCCCGTTGGAGGTCCCAGGTGGTGGAAGCCCCTGAAGCTGACACAGGGCCCCTTCTCAGCTCAGCTCCCAAGCCTCCAAATCGCTTGAGATCCTACCCCCCAGCCCTGCCCACTCCCCGCCCCCCCAGTCGAAGCCTCACTGCGATTAGGAATCAACTGAGGAACCGAAAGTACTAGGGAGATGTCATTTCCAGAGTTAATACACCGTAGCAGCAGTCGGGACTTTTCAGCCTCGGCTCCTTGCCTAGAGCCCAACGAAACTCACACATTTCCTTTCTTTAATTAAGGAACTTCTAGAACTCTACAGATGAGTGCCCCAGAGGTGAACTCCAAAAGGAAACACCTCTTTTGCAAAAGTAGCCCGAGAGTCAGCTTGGAAGCCTGCTGGGGAGGAGGAGGCACAGAGGAGGGGCCTGGAGGAGATGAGGGGCCACCTGTGTCCCCCCAGGTCCCCCCGGGCGTCCTCCTGCCTCCCGTCCAGCCCACGGTATCTTTCTGGCCAGGCCGGGCACGCAGCTGCCGCGGGGCGGCCTCTCCGTGAGTCCTTGCCCAGCCGTGGACCACTCCCCCTCCCTGTTCCGCACATTAACGTGGGGTCCTGGACTCAGGTCCACCTGGGCTTTGAGCGGTGTGACCACGAGGAAAGCGCTGAACTTCTCTGAGCCTCTGTTTCCTCACTTGGAAAACGGACCTAAAGCTATTCCATGCTTCGTAGGATTACTGAGGGGCTTCCCTGGTAGCTCAGCTGGTAAAGAATCTGCCTGCAATGCAGGAGACCTAGCTTGATCCCTGGGTTGGGAAGATCCCCTGGAGAAGGGCATGGTGACCCACGGCAGTATTCATGCCTGGAGAACCCCGTGGACAGAGGAGCCTGGCGGGCTACAGCCCACGGGATCACAAAGAGTCGGACACGACTGACGGAACGACTTAGCACAAACACAGGCTTACTGAGAGGATGAACCTCCAGGGGGATTTAGAGGAAGCTGAGTCCTCGATCTGAGGCTAACTTTCAAGGCTTTGAGGATCTCTGAGTCTACGGGGCAGCTAAGCTCACCTCATTCCATATGGAGCTTGTGACTCAGAGACTCCTGTGGCGGGACCAAGAAAAGACAAGCCAGAACTGGGTCCTCATGCAAGGTTTCCGATATCTCCGCACTGCCATAGGTTTTGAGAAGAATTCTACCTTGGAACTCAGAAACAAAGAAATTATTTCAAGTGGATCTGCCCCATAAGAGAATTATTGAGAGAAACAGTTAATGTTCTGCAGCCATCCAAAGTTGTCCACCCAAAGGCTAGCAAAAAATGAAAGCGGCGGTTGAGTCAGTGTGTAGTTGAAATTTATTCTCACCAGCTCATTAGTTTAGGTTAAATATGTGTTTGGTAGATTCACATCTTGGTGCCCAATTTGTAAAGAATGTGTACAGTTCACAAATGGCTTCTTTTCTTCTTCTTTATCGGACTTAAAGCCCTGGGATTTTAAATGGTGGCAAAGACTTCACAGCTTTTACCTCCTTGCCCATCTGTTCTATTATGCGTCCCGGTTACACGTGTTGATGGCGAAGGCATAGAGAGGAGAGCCAACCCCAATTATAATCTGCTTTCCCCGGGGAAAACATGCTCGTCTGTGTGTTCTGCCGTGTAACGAGGGTTTCATTAACAGGTTTGGGAACCCTGAAGCCTCCTGGTGGAAACCAGGCCAGACAGGCCCTCCTGCCAAATCGCTGTTTTCCCTGCTGCCTGGCTGCAGGCTGTAGTGGAAAGAGCCGCACCCTTCCTCTCCCCTAGTCCGCACCCCGCCTCCCCGCGTGTCCTTGTCTGCCCTAGATGCGTGAGCAGGGCCACCCAGCCGCTCCGGCCAGTCGGTAAGATCCACTCCTTCAGCACCCAGGGGAGTGGGAGGCTCCGGCAGAAAACAGGCTTTGTTCTTTTAACAGAAAGCTGCAGAGAAGAATCAATAATGAGGCTGCCCAGACAACACGCTGCCTCCCAGCGCCTCCCTCCTGGAACCCGCTCACCTGGAATCTGCCCACCCTCAGCCAGACCCACAGCTCAGACCCATACCTCAGATCCACAGCAGTGCAGGCCTCCTGGACCCGCTCACCATCAGCCCAGATCCATGGCGAAGCAGGCCTCCTGGAGCCCACTCACCCTCAGCTCAGACCCACAGTGGAGAAGGCCTCCTGGAAGCTGCCCACCCTTAGCCCAGACCCATGCTCAGACCAATACCTCAGATCCACGGCAGAGCAGCCCTCCTGGACCCGCTCACCCCCAGCTCAGACCCGTAGCCCAGATCCACGGCAGAGCAGCCCTCCTGGACCCGCTCAGCCTGAGCTCAGACCCGCAGCCCAGATCCACGGCAGAGCAGCCCTCCTGGACCCCCTCACCCCCAGCTCAGACCTGCAGCGCAGATCCATGGCAGAGTGGGCCTCCTGCACCCGCTCACCCCCAGCTCAGACCCAAAGCCCAGATCCACGGCAGAGCGGGCCTCCTGCACCCGCTCACCCTCAGCTCAGACACACAGCCCAGATCCACAGCAGAGCAGCCCTCCTGCACCCGCTCACCCTCAGCTAAGACCCGCAGCCCAGATCCACGGCAGAGCGGGCCTCATGCACCCGCTCACCCTCACCTCAGACTCGCAGCCCAGATCCACGGCAGAGAGGGCCTATTGGACCCCCTCAACCTCAGCTCAGACCCACAGACCAGTTCCACGGCAGAGCGGGCCTCCTGCACCCGCTCACCCTGAGCTCAGACCCGCAGCCCAGATCCACGGCAGAGCAGGACTCCTGGACCCGCTCACACTCAGCTCAGACCCGCAGCCCAGATCCACGGCAGAGCGGGCCTCCTGCACCCGCTCACCCTCAGCTCAGATCTGCAGCGCAGATCCATGGCACAGTGGGCCTCCTGCACCCGCTCACCCCCAGCTCAGACCCGCAGCCCAGATCCACGGCAGAGCGGGCCTCCTGCACCCGCTCACCCTGAGCTCAGACCCGCAGCCCAGATCCACGGCAGAGTGGGCCTCCTGCACCCGCTCACCCTCAGCTCAGACCCGCAGCCCAGATCCACGGCAGAGCGGGCCTCCTGCACCCGCTCACCCTCAGCTCAGACCCGCAGCCCAGATCCACAGCAGAGCAGGCCTCCTGGACCCGCTCACGCTCAGCTCAGACCCGCAGCCCAGATCCACGGCAGAGCAGGCCTCCTGGACCCGCTCACCCTCAGCTCAGACCCGCAGCCCAGATCCACGGCAGAGCAGCCCGCCTGGACCCGCTCACGCTCAGCTCAGACCCGCAGCCCAGATCCATGGCAGAGCGGGCCTCCTGGACCCGCTCACGCTCAGCTCAGACCCGCAGCCCAGATCCACGGCAGAGCAGCCCTCCTGCACCCGCTCACCCTCAGCTCAGACCCACAGCCCAGATCCACGGCAGAGCAGCCCTCCTGGACCTGCTCACCCTCAGCTCAGACCCGCAGCCCAGATCCACAGCAGAGCAGCCCGCCTGGACCCGCTCACCCTCAGCTCAGACCCGCAGCCCAGATCCTCGGTAGAGCGGGCCTCCTGGACCCGCTCACCCTCAGCTCAGACCCGCAGCCCCGATCCACAGCAGAGCAGCCCTCCTGGACCCGCTCACCCTCAGCTCAGACCCGCAGCCCAGATCCACGGCACAGCGGGCCTCCTGCACCCGCTCACCCTCAACTCAGACGGGCAGCCCAGATCCACGGCAGAGCGGGCCTCCTGGACCCGCTCACCCTCAGCTCAGACGGGCAGCCCAGATCCACGGCAGAGCGGGCCTCCTGGACCCGCTCACCCTCAGCTCAGACCCGCAGCCCAGATCCACAGCAGAGCAGCCCTCCTGGACCCGCTCACCCTCAGCTCAGACCCGCAGCCCAGATCCACAGCAGAGCAGCCCTCCTGGACCCGCTCACCCTCAGCTCAGACCCGCAGCCCAGATCCATGGCACAGCGGGCCTCCTGCACCCGCTCACCCTCAGCTCAGACCCGCAGCCCCGATCCACGGCAGAGCAGCCCTCCTGGACCCGCTCACCCTCAGCTCAGACCCGCAGCCCAGATCCACGGCAGAGCAGCCCTCCTGGACCCGCTCACCCTCAGCTCAGACCCGCAGCCCAGATCCACGGCAGAGCAGCCCTCCTGGACCCGCTCACCCTCAGCTCAGACCCGCAGCCCAGATCCATGGCACAGCGGGCCTCCTGCACCCGCTCACCCTCAGCTCAGACCCGCAGCCCCGATCCACGGCAGAGCAGCCCTCCTGGACCCGCTCACCCTCAGCTCAGACCCGCAGCCCAGATCCACGGCAGAGCAGCCCTCCTGGACCCGCTCACCCTCAGCTCAGACCCGCAGCCCAGATCCACGGCAGAGCAGCCCTCCTGGACCCGCTCACCCTCAGCTCAGACCCGCAGCCCAGATCCATGGCACAGCGGGCCTCCTGCACCCGCTCACCCTCAGCTCAGACCCGCAGCCCCGATCCACGGCAGAGCAGCCCTCCTGGACCCGCTCACCCTCAGCTCAGACCCGCAGCCCAGATCCACGGCAGAGCAGCCCTCCTGCACCCGCTCACCCTCAGCTCAGACCCGCAGCCCAGATCCACGGCAGAGCGGGCCTCCTGCACCCGCTCACCCTCAGCTCAGACCCGCAGCCCAGATCGACAGCAGAGCGGGTCTCCTGGACCCGCTCACCCTCAGCTCAGACCCGCAGCCCAGATCCACGGCAGAGCAGGCCTCCTGGACCCGCTCACCCTCAGCTCAGACCCGCAGCCCAGATCCACGGCAGAGCAGCCCTCCTGGACCCGCTCACCCTCAGCTCAGACCCGCAGCCCAGATCCACGGCAGAGCGGGCCTCCTGGACCCGCTCACCCCCAGCTCAGACCCGCAGCCCAGATCCACGGCAGAGCAGCCCTCCTGGACCCGCTCAGCCTCAGCTCAGACCCGCAGCCCAGATCCACAGCAGAGCAGCCCTCCTGGACCCGCTCAGCCTCAGCTCAGACCCGCAGCCCAGATCCACGGCAGAGCAGCCCTCCTGGACCCGCTCAGCCTCAGCTCAGACCCGCAGCCCAGATCCACGGCACAGCAGGCCTCCTGCACCCGCTCACCCTCAGCTCAGACCCGCAGCCCAGATCCACGGCAGAGAGGGCCTATTGGACCCCCTCACCCTCAGCTCAGACCCGCAGCCCAGATCCACGGCAGAGAGGGCCTCCTGGACCCGCTCACCCCCAGCTCAGACCCGCAGCCCAGATCCACAGCAGAGCAGCCCTCCTGGACCCGCTCAGCCTCAGCTCAGACCCGCAGCCCAGATCCACGGCAGAGCAGCCCTCCTGGACCCGCTCACCCTCAGCCCAGATCCACAGCAGAGCGGGTCTCCTGGACCCGCTCACCCTCAGCTCAGACCCGCAGCCCAGATCCACGGCAGAGCAGGCCTCCTGGACCCGCTCAGCCTCAGCTCAGACCCGCAGCCCAGATCCACAGCAGAGCAGCCCTCCTGGACCCGCTCACCCTCAGCTCAGACCCGCAGCCCAGATCCACGGCAGAGAGGGCCTATTGGACCCCCTCACCCTCAGCTCAGACCCGCAGCCCAGATCCACGGCAGAGCGGGCCTCCTGGACCCGCTCACCCCCAGCTCAGACCCGCAGCCCAGATCCACGGCAGAGGAGCCCTCCTGGACCCGCTCAGCCTCAGCTCAGACCCGCAGCCCAGATCCACAGCAGAGCAGCCCTCCTGGACCCGCTCAGCCTCAGCTCAGACGCGCAGCCCAGATCCACGGCAGAGCAGCCCTCCTGCACCCGCTCACCCTCAGCCCAGATCCACAGCAGAGCGGGTCTCCTGGACCCGCTCACCCTCAGCTCAGACCCGCAGCCCAGATCCATGGCAGAGCAGGCCTCCTGTACCCGCTCACCCCCAGCTCAGACCCGCAGCCCAGATCCACGGCAGAGCAGCCCTCCTGGACTCGCTCACCCTCAGCTCAGACCCGCAGCCCAGATCCACGGCAGAGCGGGCCTCCTGCACCCGCTCACCCTCAGCTCAGACGCGCAGCCCAGATCCACGGCAGAGAGGGCCTATTGGACCCCCTCACCCTCAGCTCAGACCCGCAGCCCAGATCCACGGCAGAGCAGCCCTCCTGGACCCGCTCACCCTCAGCTCAGACCCGCAGCCCAGATCCACTGCACAGTGGGCCTCGTGGACCCGCTCAGCCTCAGCTCAGACCCGCAGCCCAGATCCACGGCAGAGAGGGCCTCCTGGACCCGCTCACCCTCAGCTCATACCCGCAGCCAAGATCCACGGCAGAGCGGGCCTCCCGGACCCGCTCACCCTCAGCTCAGACCCGCAGCCCAGATCCACGGCAGAGCAGCCCTCCTGCACCCGCTCACCCTCAGCTCAGACCCGCAGCCCAGATCCACGGCAGAGCAGCCCTCCTGGTCCCGCTCATCCCCAGCTCAGACCCGCAGCCCAGATCCACAGCAGAGCAGCCCTCCTGGACCCGCTCAGCCTCAGCTCAGACCCACAGCCCAGATCCACGGCAGAGCAGCCCTCCTGGACCCGCTCACCCTCAGCTCAGACCCGCAGCCCAGATCCACGGCAGAGCGGGCCTCCTGGACCCGCTCACCCCCAGCTCAGACCCGCAGCCCAGATCCACGGCAGAGCAGCCCTCCTGGACCCGCTCAGCCTCAGCTCAGACCCGCAGCCCAGATCCACGGCAGAGCAGCCCTCCCGGACCCGCTCAGCCTCAGCTCAGACCCGCAGCCCAGATCCACAGCAGAGCAGCCCTCCTGGACCCGCTCAGCCTCAGCTCAGACCCGCAGCCCAGATCCACGGCAGAGCAGCCCTCCTGCACCCGCTCACCCTCAGCTCAGACCCGCAGCCCAGATCCACAGCAGAGCGGGCCTCCTGTACCCGCTCACCCCCAGCTCAGACCCGCAGCCCAGATCCACGGCAGAGCAGCCCTCCTGGACCCGCTCACCCCCAGCTCAGACCCGCAGCCCAGATCCACAGCAGAGCGGGCCTCCTGTACCCGCTCACCCCCAGCTCAGACCCGCAGCCCAGATCCACGGCAGAGCAGCCCTCCTGGACCCGCTCAGCCTCAGCTCAGACCCGCAGCCCAGATCCACGGCAGAGCAGCCCTCCCGGACCCGCTCAGCCTCAGCTCAGACCCGCAGCCCAGATCCACAGCAGAGCAGCCCTCCTGGACCCGCTCAGCCTCAGCTCAGACCCGCAGCCCAGATCCACGGCAGAGCAGCCCTCCTGCACCCGCTCACCCTCAGCTCAGACCCGCAGCCCAGATCCACAGCAGAGCGGGCCTCCTGTACCCGCTCACCCCCAGCTCAGACCCGCAGCCCAGATCCACGGCAGAGCAGCCCTCCTGGACCCGCTCATCCCCAGCTCAGTCCCGCAGCCCAGATCCACGGCAGAGCGGGCCTCCTGCACCCCCTCACCCTGAGCTCAGACCCGCAGCCCAGATCCACGGCAGAGAGGGCCTATTGGACCCCCTCACCCTCAGCTCAGACCCGCAGCCCAGATCCACGGCAGAGCAGGCCTCCTGGACCCGCTCACCCTCAGCTCAGACCCGCAGCCCAGATCCACAGCAGAGCAGCCCTCCTGGACCCCCTCACCCTCAGCTCAGACCCGCAGCCCAGATCCACAGCAGAGCAGCCCTCGTGGACCCCCTCAGCCTCAGCTCAGACCCGCAGCCCAGATCCATGGCAGAGCAGCCCGCCTGGACCCGCTCACGCTCAGCTCAGACCCGCAGCCCAGATCCACGGCAGAGCAGCCCTCCTGGACCCCCTCACCCTCAGCTCAGACCCGCAGCCCAGATCCACGGCACAGCGGGCCTCCTGGACCCGCTCAGCCTCAGCTCAGACCCGCAGCGCAGCAGGCCTCTGACCCTCCTCTGCCATCGGGGGCGGGGCGAACCCATGAGCTGCTCTGTGCTGTCTGGCCACTGGCACGCAGTGACCGCAGCCTCTGAGGGGCTTTTAGCGCAGACGGTGATCTTGCTTCTAATTTCCAAAAGCCTTGTCAGTGCTCCGCTGTTTGCCTTCGCAGGTCCAGGCTGCCGCGGTGAGGCTGTGTTGGAAAAAGGCCAGCGTCTAAAGGCAGCATGTTTCAGTTTCCTGTGCCGCTTGCATCCCTTCATTAAGAAGAAACTGCAGAAGACTCCTCGCCCTAAAGCTGGCCTCAGCTGCCAAACACAGTGTTAGGACAAAGAGCACAGACACACAGATGCTTCTAAGGCCAGGTTTTGCTCTTGAAAGAAACCTTCTCTCTTGCCACAGAAAGTATTCAAGATGATTCTGGAAAACAGGCTTCAAGAGTTCAGCCGTGGCCCGAGAGGGGAGCCTTCCTTATCTGAGGCCCATCGCCAAGAGCGAGCAGACTCTGCCGTCACCCTCTCGTCCAGCAGAGGCGAGCCAGGCCTCCCAGCCTCTCAGACTTGGTAGCCTTGTTCCCTCATTGAACAGACAGTTCATCACTGACTGAGCTATTGAACAAGGCATCATTCTCCGTGGCTGGCTGACTATCCGTCCCTTCATCCATCCATCCATCCAACCAGCACTTCACCCATTTTCCCCTCCATCCCTTCCTCCTTCTCTCCATCTTTCTCTGCCTCCCCACCCGCTTCCGTTCGTCCATCACCCCTCCCTCCATCCTTCTGTCTGTCCATACATCCACCCCTCCATCCTCTCCATTATTCCAATGAAAACTCAAGCCAGCCTACCAGTATTGCTAGAACTGTTCAGACACTTGGAGGGAGGCAGAGAAAGAAGATAACAAAATGGGGAAGGAAAAAGAAAAGTGGAAGAAGAAATAAGAAAAGATAAGTGAATTTACTCTAGTTATTTTATTAGGAATTTTATTATAATGCATAGCATAGCAGAAAAAAAAAATCAATGAGCAAAGATGAGATGGTCCAAAAGACAGCCCTTCATATTTGTGAAATAAATCTAAGCTTGTTTGTTTGTTGTTTAATCACTAAGTGAGGTCCAATACTTTGTGACCCCACGGACTGTAGCCCACTAGGCTTCTCTGTCCGTGGGATTTCCCGGGCAGGAATGCTAGAGTGGGTTTCCATTTCCTCTTCCAGGGGATCTTCCCAACCCAGGGATTGAACCCACGTCTCCTGTGCTGGCAGGAGGATTCTTTACCACTGAGTCAGCAGGGAATGATCTAAGCTATGGTTTCCCTGACATAACACTGCAGGTGACCATGGTGAGTCAGAAGCATCAAGCACCAATGCAGATCTGGAAAAACCACTGGCAGAGGTGAGCCACTCTATGGGTCTGCTCACAAGGCCCCAGCTGGTGAGCTGGGTGGAGTCTCTGCTGCAACCCCCAGCCTCTCTAATGCCCGAGCCTGTCTGGGGAACCATCGTCTGGGAGGGCAGGGCCGTGTCCCCCCAGCTCTGGGAGTGGACACAGCCCAGGCCTGCTGTGTGCGCCACACGCTCAGGTGGCGCATGGGCACATGACCAAGAGGTGCAATCCGCTTTTGCCCCGGGCCTTCCTTTGTCTGCAGCTGCCAGGAAGGAGATGAGGGAGGAGCCTGGAGTCTGGGAGAGCATCACGAGGGGGTAAGTTACTCAAGAAGAAGGAGAAACAGCCTACTGGGTCGTGAAGATGTCCTTTGAGCTCCTGGACCCAAATACATCCAGACCCTCAGCTATGTAGCTGAGGTCTCCCGCTCCCTTTGCTGACGTCAGTTAAGCTGGCTCTCAAAAGCCGGCAGTTCTGGTCAATTCAAACAGCAAAGAGCTCCCTTGCCTTTGGCTGATGGCCCTCAGCAGTGGGGGGTGCAGAGGAGGGTGGCTTCCTCGCCCAACACTGCTCTGATGCAAGCTTCTGAGGTCACATCCAGAGGTGCCCACACCTCTAGAGAAGGCCCTGGGACAGGAGCCCGACCGCACCTCACCAGCAGGGCTCGCCACCCCCAGAGGCACCCGCTGCATCCCTCAGTCCTCAGCACTTTTGTGGGATAGGTGCCTAAGGGACACCTGCTATTTTGTAGCCAAGCAGAGTTCCATCCACTTAAGGTAACAATGTCAGAGGTTAAAAAATTCACAAACCGGCAAGTCGGCAAGTCTCATATCGTAGCTCTGGAAGTCTTAACTATTTGACAGTCTAGAAAACTCCACCTCCACAGAAATAATGCTTCCAGTGTGCTCTTAAGCCAATGATCGATGGTAGGACTAACTGCCCTCTGGAACGGGAGAGACGGTTTTATTTTTGGAAGCAAGATATCAGGGATTATCTATACCTTATCTTAGTCACAGTGATTTAGCAGCAATGAAACATTAATTTAATAAATAATGGAAATCCTATTTTTTACTTCCCTTTTATTCAATAGGCTGTCTAAAGTCTCTGAAAAATGTCTCTTGGAATCTTCTCAAACTTTTTGAAATATAGCACCAACATTTTCAGAGCATTTTTCAATGTGCCAGGCATTATACTAGGCACTTGGATTCTAATGAAAATATTGCCACTGTCTCTGCCTGCAAGGGGATAACAGCTTATCAGAAAAGGGGGTGGGAGGGGGCTGGACATAACAGATGCAGCTGCAGGATGAAGTGACGGATGCCAGGGCACAGGTGGGAAGGCAGTGGTGTCAGGGCAGACCGTGGAGCTGAGCCATCCGGGACGTCTTGCCAAACCAGAGCCCCTCTGGCAGGACTCTCGACATGAAGCGTTCGACCACACGGGGGTGAGGCAGCTTGTTCTGAAGACTCTGAGGTCCTGGCCCCGGTTTTCCGAATCTCAGCATCTCGGGCTGTGGGGTATCACGCCTGGTGTCCTGGCCCCAGGCTTCTGCATCTCGGGGTGTGGAGCATCACACCTGGTGTCCTGGCCCCAGGCTTCTGCATCTCGGGCTGTGGGGTATCACGCCTGGTGTCCTGGCCCCAGGCTTCTGCATCTCGGGCTGTGGGGCATCACGCCTGGTGTCTGGCCCCAGGCTTCTGCATCTCAGGGTGTGGGGCATCACGCCTGGTGTCCTGGCCCCAGAGTTCTGCATCTCGGGGTGTGGGGCATCACGCCTGGTGTCCTGGCCCCAGGCTTCTGCATCTCGGGCTGTGGGGCATCACGCCTGGTGTCTGGCCCCAGGCTTCTGCATCTCGGGGTGTGGAGCATCACACCTGGTGTCCTGGCCCCAGGCTTCTGCATCTCGGGCTGTGGGGTATCACGCCTGGTGTCCTGGCCCCAGGCTTCTGCATCTCGGGGTGTGGGGCATCACGCCTGGTGTCTGGCCCCAGGCTTCTGCATCTCAGGGTGTGGGGCATCACGCCTGGTGTCCTGGCCCCAGAGTTCTGCATCTCGGGGTGTGGGGCATCACGCCTGGTGTCCTGGCCCCAGGCTTCTGCATCTCGGGCTGTGGGGCATCACGCCTGGTGTCCTGCCCCAGGCTTCTGCATCTCGGGCTGTGGGGCATCACGCCTGGTGTCCTGCCCCAGGCTTCTGCATCTCGGGCTGTGGGGCATCACGCCTGGTGTCTGGCCCCAGGCTTCTGCATCTCGGGCTGTGGGGCATCACGCCTGGTGTCCTGGCCCCAGGCTTCTGCATCTCGGGCTGTGGGGCATCACGCCTGGTGTCCTGCCCCAGGCTTCTGCATCCTGGGCTGTGGGGCATCACGCCTGGTGTCCTGGCCCCAGGCTTCTGCATCTCGGGGGGTGGGGTATCACACCTGGCAGCACCAGCCTGCACCATCATGGGTCCAGTTTGGTGTCTGGGTGACACTTGGTGTCTGAAGCCCAGTGAGTTGGCCGGGGCCAGCCTGTGCCCCTGTGGAATGCCTCTGAGTCCAAAGTCTGATTTTTATTTCTCTCAGCTATTCACCGAAGCTCTTTGCCTACCAAGAGGGACCAATAATGGAGAAGCGTCCAGTCACCCCTGGGCAGGCGACTTCACCACACCTCTGCTCTGACGGCCAGGGAGAAGCAACTTCCTTATTTTCTGTGCCAACAGTGGAAGGCTCTGTGGGATGGTCTGAGGGCTTTCTGGGGCGGTGGGGTCAGGGTAGGGGGACTAGAGGGCATATATTAAAACACCTTCGAGCCTTTGAACACAGCTGCATCTTCAAAGGCTCCTGCTGAGGATCAGGGGCCTAGAATAACCAAAGCTTCCCACCGGTGAGAGAAACCCTCTTTGTGCTAAAATTTACGAAGGCAATTTCTGTGCACCCCAAAGCATTTCTTTTGGTGGTCCTCTCAAATCTGGCTACAGGATGCTCTGTTTTATGTAATAGGCAAAAATGAATCTGGCTCTGATCCGTTAAAAGAGTGAATTCTTTCCTGAAGTGTCCGATTCTCTTACATCCAATTTTCAGAACTGACAGCTTCAAAATCACAGCAGCGGAACTTTGTAAAGTTGTCGACTGACATTTACGAATGGAATATTTCCAAGCTGATCACGTTCTTCCTTTGAGTCCTGAATCCTTTCTCCCATGCTCGGTAATTAATCATCAGCGGGCATTCTGACTGCTTGTCACCTGTTTCCTCTTTGGTGGAGTGGCGGAACATGGGTGCCAAGCGAGTGAGATCCGCCCTCACGTTAATTCACGTTGGAACTGAGTCATACACAGCTTTCCAAAGAGAATTCTGGAAATAGCTTCACTTTCATTAATTTTTATTTAATGTTTATTTCAGACTGTAGTTGATTTCCAAAGCTGTGTTACTTTCAGGTGTATAGCAAAGCGATTCGGCTACACACACGCGCATGCCCATTCTGTTTCAGATCCTTTTCCCACATAGGTTACGACAGAATATTGAGTGGAGTTCCCCACGCTGTAGAGTTGGTCCTTGTTGATAATCTACTTCATATATAGTGGTGTGGGTCTGTTAATCCCAAACTCCTGCTTCGCCCCTCCCTCACTTGTAAATAATAATATCTGCTTTA